TTAATTTTCGCCGTATCTACAAACTTGCTGGCTCATCCCAAGTCGACAGTGTATACGGATTGTAAATGAAGCAAAAAGCAGTAGAGCGCAATAGCAAATTCTGAATACCTAGAATAGAAAACGAATACTGCAAACTTAAGTTAATAGTTGTTATTTTAAAAGGCGATTTCTGTTTCGATCAAGGCGCTAGTGAAAGAACTCGCTATGAGTGAGCATCGGAAGAATTTAGGTACACATCATATGTCATACAGATCAGACATATGCTTCCCGAACGCAATGAAACAAGAGAATTTGGCGGGTGTTGCTTGCAAGTCACCACTTTCAGGAATGAAGCAGTAACTTTTGCTCCGACGGACATTTTACCTTCTATGCAGAAATCAACTACAGAAATAGCTATTGACTTTGTTACAATCTAGAAAATGTGCCTGTCATAAGTAGTAGCACATTTTCGTCCAAAGTTCTCATTCTGAGCGTATTGTCCAGCCGTATATGTCGTGTCACCATACTTTTTCTAGAAGGGCGACGGCTTCACTAAAAAAAATTATCTGCAAGTTTTGCAACTCTTCAGAGGATAATCACACGTCCGATAGAATACAACAAGTTTATACAACCGATAACAAGTCAACTCCTCGAAACTACAAGTAGGTTATAAAATAAGCGGATAAACTGTTGAACAGCCCATATTTGAATTCGTTGAATTACTATGTATGGAGCGAAAGTTCAACATCTCATGGCAACGTCAACCCGTTTACACGTGTTATCTAAAAAGCGTCCGTGTAATTGTATCGGGAACATTTGAAACGATTTTTCGAGCGGTTCAGGATTCGAATTAAAACTGTGGTCGGTTATATCGAAAAAATATGACTGTCAGATATGATACTTATAATAAATGTGAAAAATTGCGTTGAAATGTATTCATTTAGAGACAATGTTTGAAGGAAAATATAAAAAAAAGCGCTAATTTACGTGCCATATATGTAGAGAGTATAGGAAACTTAAACGCCTTATGCCTTTGAGGCTTGCGTATAATTTTAGGTATAGGCGAGATCGCCAGTGTGATTTCTGCATTTTGGGATTCCAGTGGTCGAATTTACGGTCACTAGGATCACTTGAAGCTTGACGAAACCGCAATAATAATCATCGAGCAGCTACCCACTGCCAACTCTATGGTTTAGCTTGATACAGTTTCAATGATTCTTTTATATCGTATGCGTACGAGGCAAGTGTGTGCGTTTTCAGTTTAGCATTTGATATAATACAACAGTTGAATGACTTGGGCCAGCGAACGTGACAGGAACATCTTTTATAGGGTTTATATTCCTGACGTTTATTGTCTGTATGCTTCTAGGGCCTGGTTCAACGCACATTCTTACCAGCTTCCCTTGTAAAGCTTGTATATGCAAATATGTATGTGAATAGATGAACCCAGGTTGAAACATAAATAGGCCGATAGAGAAAGACCGGAATTCTAATAAATGCCCCTTTTATGATTTGGTTATAGGGCGCACATTAAAGGTAAGTAACGCATTTTGAGCTTGCGCTATATATATATATATATATATATATATAGACTAAGGTTGGAATCATGTTAAAGCTTAATCACAACGTTCCTAACGGTGTTTACCATTCTATCCAATTGATCCAACTGGCTCAAGACCTTTGTTGGTACTTTCATTACGTAAGATGTGTTTGCTCAGTCGTTTTACTTGTGCTAATAATGCTTGAGGAGGTGCTTTTGTGCGCATTCAGAAATGGCTGATCTCAAATGTGTTTAGAGATACTTGCCCTCTTGCGTTGAATATGTAAAAGATGGGCCACTAATCATGCTACGAATATGTGGATCTTAAGGAGTCCCGGCTCGATACGCGGGTCAAAACGTACTATTAGTAACTTGTATGGCAAAAACAGTGTAATTACGTTTAATCGGAAAAGGATGCGCCTGTCATAGGGATTGTTTTATGTCATCTAAGCAATCGGTGATAGCTAGCAAGTAGAGAGTGGTTAAAACTGGCAATCTTCTTTTGTCCTCTATTGGACCCTTTTTTCTTTATATTTATTCTTCTGAGAATTAATAGGTACATAACGCTACGCTTTTGTTGCCTTAGGTTGACGGTTTGAATATGAAGCTTTTGATAGTACGATTGTTAGATATCTAGCTCGCATGAGCAAATGGCTATTTACAAGCATGAGGTGAAGATTTGTTGATTCGTGACTGCGTTCAGAGCGCAATATGGCTCCAGCCATTCAACTGGAGCTGCAAGTCATAAGGAATATATTGTTGATAGTTACTGCTTGACAGTGTTGCAAGATATTCTGTCTTTTTGCTTTTGATAGTCTTTATTGTTGTTGTATATCGATGTCGTCCTTTGGCGTAGAATTTAAATGGCCAAGTTAACAACAGACTTATTTAACCAAGAAAACGAATCCATTCGCACACTTAATACAGTTCGTTGACGGTTCAAAAACGAAATCATAGCATTGTTACTGTGTGTATTTGACTTTTCAGCATCCATCTCATCCGTTTAGTCATTATGAAAAAGCATTGTCTCGTAAATTTGCCACTATTCAATTCAACTTTTCAGTTATACGTTGACAAAAAGAGTACAAAAGCATCACCAGAGAGCAACGAATAGATATTAATTTTGCCCTTAAAAAAGCTATTGATTTATATCCTAATATCCCTTGCTTGCGCGGTTTGCGTCTTGTCACCCGTATGGGTTCCATAAAGACATGGCCTAGGTGGATTAGCGATTCCTCCTTATTCGCGCGACTAATGGCTGCAAGTCGCGTACGTATCGTAAGCCGAGTTCTTGTTTTCCTGTGCTTTTCCACCCGATGCGAGCCTGTCTAGTCGATAGGGCAGCTATAAACTTCTTTCTCATGGGCACTCAACATGAGATTCCGAATACGGTTACGCTCCTAGCTTGTAACCGTTGCAGCCGTCCCGTCGTTGCCACCGCTGTTGGTGCTCGCTCTCCCGTCACCTGTGGGAGCAAGCCGACGAAACGACGTGACAAACTGCGACAGGCTGTAACTACACGCATTAGGGTGACGACGGGTGGTATTGGTCGGTCATCATTACGATGATAGTGGCGTTATTGATGATGATGGTAATAATAATAATTGTAAGATAATTTTTGGAATAACATGACCTTGCCCATAGCCTCGCACGAAGCGTTCGGGATCGCTCACGTGAGATGAGTTGCTTGGCCGGCCTGCTGCTTCGCAGACTATTATAATGATTATTGCTTTAGGTTAGCCGTAAACAGGCAGCACTGCGCAGATGTCACAAGAAACTAGGAGGCAAAAAAATACGCATATCGTACAATTCGTATGTGTAAACGATCGATGATGCAAAACGAGATGATAAAACGAAAACTTAACCTGATACCATGAGCCATATCTTATATGTGTCTATAATAGTGGTTATATATTTATATATATAAATTGATTGTGTAGTATTTGTAGGGCTAAAATAATAACACACCGAGAACAGCGACTCCATCCTTCTTGAATCTATGTAATGTTATTAATAACAAAGGTAATAATAATGTGTTGTTTGAAGTTTTTGCGAAACCAATCTAGTACCTTTTTGGTTTAGTTTTTTTTCAAGGTGCAATCGAATTTGTCGAAATAAGACCTTGCAATAAGTTTTTAAAAATACGCGCAATATATATGCGAACAAGGACTACATAAAGAACAAAATCGTACGTGTTACAAATAAGTACTATTGTGTGGCATTGTAGAAATTCGAAGGTCGAGTTCAGCTGTGTGTGACGTCCAATTGTACGCGATGGTCCAGATGCATTGAAATTGCACCTCACACCACAGATCCCAATAAGAAAAACGTTTATCAATGTTGGCGCCATGCAAACGGGGATCTGTTGATATGTTTTCGCTAGTGCAGCGGGAACAGTAATGTTGTCAGGCACCCAGCAAAATCGCGCGGGAAATATTTGTAGTAACTGTAAAAAGTTGAACCGGAATTATGTGCACCTTCTGATTGCAGCAATCTAACTCTATTAACGGAGAAGGCAAATCGTTTATTTACGATGTTCTCTACTGCGCGAGAGGTACATAGGGTAGAATCGGGAATTTATCTGCAACACTAAGCCTTTCGTAGACAATCCTTTATTTCGATAGAGAACAGCTTATTAGCCATCGTGTGCGTGTACAAGCGCAATAGCATATCACAAAATGAACACAGAGCGAGCAAACGTTAAAGAAAATGATATCCACCTTCTTTGCCACTTCATAAGGGGTTCAGATTAGTAGTAACGTAATTCAATGACAATTTCAGAATGTCTTATTCATGTTGTCGCCGACGTTCGGTGACTTCTTCACAGCTAATCGAACTGGTTATAGCAGCTGATCGCATAGGATTACATTTTGCCAGCATATAAGGATGGCCCTTTTCACCAATCTTATGTTAGTCCCTAAGGTACTGCATATTGGGGTGACAGGTTGCATGTCTAGCAGAGAAGTTTACTTGTCCAACTCATTGCAGATATTAACAGATATTCAGAAGCCAATGATGTAACAACAGGATCTTAGTGGAAGATCACTAGAAGTTTCAGTGTCAGGAAGTTTATGCATTTCATAAACCATACGCGTTTATGGATAAAATCTTTTTTTTTTTTCAGATGTATAACTACAACTATTTGAGACTAACACACATTTATTTTTAACGAAACGTTCCGCGATTGGAAGCTAAGTACGCACAGAAGTTGTAAAAGGCTGTTTTAAGTTAAGCAACCTATGTGAATATGGAATGCCCCTAGAATAATAGGTAGAATCTAACGAAAAATGTTGCTAGCTTAATTATTCGGCTAAAAGTGTGCAATAAAGTTCCAGAAAATTCAGTTCCATTGTCTTTGCAAAAAAATGTCTTATTGAAACGCTAATTAATGACAGAGGAAGTGGTTCCTGGAGAAAACCTCTAAAGAACTGTGTGAAATTTTGCTACAGCACTAATGTTACTTTATTTGTATTCATTGCAGGCAAAAATCTGTTCAATAATGAGCACGTAGCAATCAAATTGGTGAGTACAAGTAATAGCAACAAGAACAACAAAACTAAGTCTCAAGATGGTTCTTGAGACACATCCATAAAACTGTAATTAGTTACGGTAATATCAACACTTTAAGATACTTGTTTAGATAATAGTTTAATCCACAAAGCAGACACTTGATATCATTGTCTAAATACTATATTCTATTCTTAAAACAAAAGTCTGAAGGCCTAAGTTCATGCATTGTGTACCTACTACTACTACTATGAAAAAACAATTAAATAAATATTTGAGCGGATACTGAGCAAATTAACTTGTATGTCCTCCTATTGACTCTGTATATGTATCTTCTATACAAAAAGCGTAATCGTATTCTTTTTCCACATGATTAAATAGCGTTCGCAAAGTAATGTTATACCAAACAAATTATATCCCTACAATCAGCATCCGTGGCTTATCGCCATTTTAAAAACACGTTTGAACTCAATTTTGTAACTTAGAGGTCCTGCCATTGAAAGCACTGGATTAGTGTTGTTATATAGGCTGCACAATTGGCGATGTGAGATGTTTTCATAGCTCATCAAGTGCATATACTCGCTTATATATAAAAATGCTTACGTGTTTATGATAAAGATGACTTACATCTTCTTGCTTAAACTGATGAAAAACGTTTCTTTATGCTGCCGTCTCATTTTGGTTAACGCAAGACGGAGAGTGTTTGCTACAAATTCGCGGTTGGCGCTCTCATCGTTACGATGCAATGACCCGTATGATCGCCCTCATGTATACATATGTTGCGCGCACTAAGGTCAACTCGGCATACCCACTGCTAAGTAATGACCAACATTAGACGGCATCACACTTTTGCGTCTGTACGTATATCACACGAGCAAAAAAACGACGAATAGCTTACCAGGTGTTGAGCGCGACGGGATAAGAATGCAAAACTCTTCATGGAGAAGGGAAACGCGCAGGGGGTTTCTTGGCTGGCTGATCTATTTGGACATCTGCTTCTCTCGCGCGCACATACTGACTTGACGACGACCGCAACTCTTAAATATAGACAGCAAACTGGATTCGCTCACTGCCTTGGCGTATAATGAGCGGCGGCAATACCGAGGAAAGAGTAGGGGGCCATGGAACGCGGAAAGTATTTTATGATACACTCATATGCTTTTCTTTCTTCTGTTCCGATTGTTACTATTTTGACGAGTGAACGCATCATTCCATTTAGTTCTCAAAACACTCAACAACTTCAGCTGATCCACGAAATGCCCTTTTACGGCCCATGCAGTTTAATGCAGAAGCCAAATTGGACTCCAATCAGTTTCTTTCCTCTATACCTGATCGTACTGTCGTGTGTATTTATAAATTGGCTATATAAGTAGTGGTGCTGGTTATATCCGAGCTCAAAGGTGAGAAATAGCCAATAGATTATATGCAAAGCTAGAACGGATGTGGCTCTGGCGCACCGGTAGCCTTATCTGACTTGAGGCAAGTCGATGTATCTAGCATACCAGTAATTTACTGCTGTATTGATGTCGCCATTTAGATGAAAACTATGTATGATTTTTCTACATAAGTTAAATGCAACCATAATATGTTCGCAACGTACATGGTTCAATGGTTTTCGTGAACTTCTCTTTGAATACATCTAAAAGTCCTTGAAAGCTGCCTTTTTCTATCTATTTGATTGTGAAGATAGATACAACCTGAAGACTAGCAGAGTGGAGAGCAAAATTTGTTTCTCTATAAGAAGAGGTGGTAAAGTCTCTTATGGTTTGCAAATGGAAATCTGGAAAAGCACTGGACGTAGATTGCTCTAGATGTCACTTTTATCAAGTTGCCTCCAAGGTGAAAATAAGTTTTGAAAGAACACCAAGCAACTGAAGCAGTGTTAAATAGAATTTAGGTTGTACCCGACCGAGGATAGCGATTGAACGGGAACTCGTTGTTCTACTGAATACGTTAGCCGTTTCCGCTGACAACGCATGATTGGCTCTTGTATGGTATGAAATACAAAATAGAAAAAAGAAAAAGATGCATCACAGAATAGATAGTACTCAATAAAAAATGAAAATTTTAACCATTTACTTTGTAGTGAAAGCTATTTTTTGCTGCATCGTAGTATATCCTTAGGATTCAAGCTTCTTAGCAAAGCCCTCGCAAGATTCAGGGTGGAAACGATGATCAAAAGTTCGTGAATATATGTTTATATTGCATTTAGTCAATTATCGAAGTTAAAGAGCAGTTGTTGCAACTTCTGGCTGATGTTACATTAATAGATGTTGCTGACGATATATGTTCATATATCGCTAATAATGGTTTCAAGTTCCTCTCAAAAGAATTTCTAATTAATATATTTTAGTAGCATTCAAGGCTGCCAACTTTAACATAGAAGTTAACATAGAATTTAAGTCAGTGTATTTACTTGAGGTGCATGGCCGAAAATTCGCGTTCTTACTTTAGTGACAGTCTAGGAACGGTCTAGACAAAGGATAAGGCAAAATAGGTAATATTAATTTCGAGTGTAGTATAGATTTTTTGAGATACCCTTACTAGAGGAGCATGTATAAATTTAGCTAAACAGAAAAGAAATATGCCTATGAGCACGTATAATTTCATGATTTTGAAGAACTATTCTTTTAATGCGCTGATGGAAAAAAAGCTGGGGTTTCAATAAAGAAATAAGCGACCTCTTCCGTCGACCTGACGTGGACGTGCCCATTTCCTTATTGTACATACAAAGACAACAGTAGAGCAACTAAACTAAACGTTTTGCTTTTCTGCAAATTTGAGTTCTGTTTAAACAGCGTCTAAAGTGTATCGACTCTTATTAAACAAGCCTGGAATAAACTTGTTTCGAATTGGTAATGTTCAACACGACAATTGTATCTTACCAGTCGCGGCATTTAGACCATGACTAGATCCCATAACGGCGGGATATTCAAAAGTGAAATGCGATGTCCCAATAAATGAGCCTGATTTCTGTACTGGCATTGACAAACATAGCAAATGAACAAGCGATTTTTTAGCTTGCCATTCAGCTAGCGGATCGAGTTGTATTTCACGCGCTTCCTAAGATGATTGGAATAATTCCGCCGACTGAAGGTCGTTTATGCCGTTCATTCAGCTTTCTGAACTGAATTTGGTAAGCGAGAGGAATTGTTTTTCATGTACTTCTCAAGGATAAATGCTAAAAGACTTATTTGCCGTATGTTTATTTGGTAACCACTAAAAATATAAAATAACAATACAGATATCTGATAGCGTTGCAACTAAATGTATAAATCATGAATATTCGATTCGCAATTTCGACATAGTCTAAATTTAGTTTCATTATTTAATGAATAGCTGTGTACATATTTTATATACAAGTAGTAAATACCTAATGCACACATTGCTAGTGTACGCATTTGGTATTTCGTAACTTTATGTGTAAGAAATTTGGAAAACGAATTTTATGACTTTAACTCTCGTTAGAATTGGCCCTTAAGATGATTCGTGTACACTAATGAGATGATGACAAGCCATTGTGCTGGGGTTTCAGTTTCAGATTGGGTTCCGTACGCCATGTACCGAAGCATTAGCAAGGAGTAACTACCCCTCGCCTCGTTTTCCGACAAATCACACTTTTTATGTCATTAGATTTCCTCGCAATAGACGCACTACGCCCCTCAGCTTAAGCTTGAGATTAGCCAAATATATAGGGTTTTCGTAAATTGGAAAGAATTTTTTCAGTTAAAAAAAGGCATTAAAGCTGCTTTGACCTTTTTTTAGTCGGTGCGATAGCTAAACAAAAAAAAATAAATTTGCACAAGGATGCAAAGCGGAATAAGTGCGTAAGTAGTAAAAATGTTTGTAAAAGTGAATTTATTGTTCGGCATTTCTATGACACCTTATTGGTAGTGAAAGCGTCGTAGGGTTGGCTAGATTGCCTAGGGACCCACTGCTCGAAAATGCTCGCTTGGTGGTCAGGCAGAATATACAGCTATACCAAGTGGTATTTGTGACAAAATAGTGTATCCTGTCAAACTACGCTTAACATCGTCATTGCATATACCAATTAAAAAAACTGAAAAAAAAAACATAATTTTGATTTTTTATTAATACGTCTGTTTATTGGGCTTCATGTTTATTCGCAGGAGGGAATAAAATCAAAAGCCCCTCAACTACACCTTGAGTACCGGTTTTACAAACTGCTAGGAAATGCAGGTAAGTAAACTGTGCACGCGTTATGAAATCTATAAGAAATGAAGTTTGTTTTTTCAAAAGTGATCTTCACGTGTGGAACAGACTAATCTCGGTCATTGAAATCACTTATTAGGTTTTCCGTGGCTGCTACCACATCGTCTAAGCAGTAGACGGATTCATTGGCTGATGAAAGAGGCACCTATAAACGCGCCCTGTTGACATACCTATTTTCAGATTTTCGCCTATTGTTTGAGTCGGTTATCCTCGAAGACCTGTTGTATAGTTACGAGCTGTTGTAATCCGAGCTATGAATTCAGTGAAACAGATGTTCTGTTCAATGTTTGTCAGAATTACAGAGGTTACCAGGCCCCCCTGGAGTTTTGATATTGTCAAACATTCTTATGCAAAAAGGCGCTTACTTTGAGCTTGTGTATAACCCGTTTTGTCGTATTTAATATGTTATCTTCAGGAATTTCATAATAATGGTGTTATTAGATTCCTTCTATAGGTAAAGTACTTGGTGATCGATCAAACTTTCATATAGGCTGAAGAACAAGGACAGAAGTCTACAACGCTACATAAGAATATAAATGAAAAGTTTAAAAAAGAAAAAAAATTAATGAAAATTGCTATTATAATTCCATTATGAATTTATGTTTAAATTAATAAACTTTACAGGAGCTAAATAAAGTACTTTGAACTAACGGACAAAAGATGGCTTCCGAAATTAGATTTATAGTTGAACACTCATCTTTTGGTCATGCTGATTTACACTGAATAGTATAACACAGGGAAAATTTTAGCTCAATCTTAAGTATCAATCAAATGAGTACCTTGAGGTTGCAAACAAATCAATAATCAGTAATTGAATCATAATTTCTCATTTAATAATTTGTGTCTATGTCATTTTTACGGTTACTAGTTTTAAATCTTATTAACCATTAACGACCTGAATAATAACGTGCAATGAAACTAAATAAAGTAACTAAATGGATCGTCGAACTTGAAGCTTGTTTGAACCTTGCAGAGTTATTTTTATCTATCTTATTGCCAGCAGAGTAACAGTTGGCTATTATTATGCCAATTTTCTTCTTAGCAATATAGTAAAGGGTGTCTGGAATCGATATAAAATAGAGCTGGCCTACTTACGAAATCCTCGGATGCTGGAGAAATTGGCCGTTGTGTCAACTAGCAGTTTATGGACCCGTTTACAGGTACCGGATCGACCTTTGTTTTCTTGCCGGAGAATAGACCTAGGTATTCGACCAAATGACATTTTTACTTTAAACTGACCTTAGTCATTTGTGGAAGTCACTCAGTCATTTATCATAGTGATATTAATAATAGTATACCAACAAATCGTTTAGTTTGGGATAGATAGGACAGCTGTCATACGAAACATAATAGGGTTAATAATTTAGGTTGTAGTTATATTCAGGAGAGCTAAAAACGAGTTTGGTTTATGGTTGTGTGGTAGACAGAGCCTGCTATAAGTAGCTGCTTCGATGAATACGCGACCCCCCAGAATTCTCAGCGTTTAATATATAGATAGCTCTTTAACTCTGATTTGTAAGGGGTGAAAACATCCCATACAATAATAATACGGTGGCCAACTTGTATCGCTTCAACTTTCCATTCTTGAAGCTAATTCCTCGTTGGTTGCATCTGAAGACATCCAAAACTGGCTACCACTATATATATATATATATATGTAGAGGTGGCCATTCTAGAATGGCCATAGATACAGCATGATACTGAATTACATGGGAATTTTTCCCATTTACGTGGAATATGTTTAGGAACGTACTTTGCGTGACCATTGTTATTTCGAGATATCGTGTCAGCCATTGAGCTATGTATTATACCTAGCAAGAGCTTTGTGCGTTAATGTCTTGTAATCTTGTTTGGGATGCAGCTAAGCGGAACGTGTCGCTGCTTATCCTGCCTACAAAAATGCTGAAAAATCGTGGGCACAAAGACCAGTTTTTGCAATAAGCGAAATACGGTGATATACACAGTAGTACCTATTAATGCAGTAGTGAAATTTGGTCGTTTATCAACATAGGTTGGACACCTGACTAGGATTTGTTCTAGATATAAACAACGATTTAAAAAAGAATCGGCTCAGCTAGTGTTTGATACTACATACAACTTTGACTTCATCAATTCAACAAAGCTTCGGGAAGCTTTGTTTTTTCATTTCTTCCTGCCTTAGCAAAAGACTACGGAGTCTCCGTAGGAGTTTAGCTTAGTTGAATGATTTATCAACAGTGATTGCATTCAGAAACGTCTTTTCACTGCTTGTCAAGAGTATCCTATCTTATGGCTTTCGGTTATTTCGTCACATGTTTATTCTCCTGACAGTAACAATTTGAGTGGCCAGATCTTTTTCTATTGTTAGCATTTTGAAACATTTCAAAAACGAAATACGATAACACTTAGTTGGGCTTTGTGTATAAAGGTGTACGTTGATCAATAGTTTGTATCTTTCAATACGGTAGAGAAAATAATGCAAATGAAGGAGGTCTTCGAGAATTGCTTAATATCATGCAGACATTTTCCGGGGTTCAGCACACGGTTCACACCAGTTTTCGCTTTTTCGCAGACCTGTTGCCAAATTCTCACGGATAACTAGTATGCTTCAACTGCAGTATCATAATAAAGGTAATATCGTAAATCATAAATTATTGTGAGAGCTCGGGCGTCGCTGAGGTGCAATCAGCACGACCGGAATTTGATTAGATCAACGCCATATAAAGATTAACAAAAGGTAGCAGCACAGCGTGTGGAACAATATCACACCTTCTGCACTAATATTTCACTACATAAAAAAAAGTATACGAAAATTAAGGATTTACCATTCATAGGCAAATATTCGTATGTCCAGTCGCCCCAAGTTTGTTAAAGTGATCTACACAGACGACAATCGTATTATCACGGAGATAATAAAGACGTTTACGTTTGAAGCTGGAGGAGACGTTGACCGCTATCTATTTCTAGTGTCATGTCTTCTTTGCTTAACGTTGGTTCGTAGGCCAAAGCCCTTAGTTTCTCCATCCGTAACATTGATTGTTCTCTTGTTGTATTGATCGATATTGATGGCCAGCTGGAAGGGAGGGAAATGGATTTTTATGGAGTAGTAAGCTGAGGTCTGAGCTCTCGCTTGATGGGACGCATTTTTAGGGGTTACATAATTATGAATTCCACCTCACCACGCCCTCTAGCTTCTTTTCTTCCGAACTAACCAGTAAGCTACTTGAGCGTACTCACCGTAACGGATGGTGACTAAAAGTGGGTGGCAGGAGGCAATATGGGTCACGTTTCATTGCTACGGCCGATGTGCATTGTCTAGCTAAATAGAGCCGCCTTATTTAGCCAAATGTGTGTTGTTTTGTTGTGGACGATTATGATGAAAGTTAAGCCAATTCATATATTAACAGTGAGCGTCCAACGATACATTTATACATTATTATACTAATGTTATCAGCAGCTCTTAGGGCAGCATGCCAAATATTGACAGCTCATTATTCCGTTTCGATATGTTGAACAAATATGGTCGCCATTCGTGGTGTCTGGATGCTAATCAAGAAATAAAGAAAATCCACGCTATTGATGGTTTTAGTTGACTCGTATGTGTGGGCATCAGTAAAAATACTATTTCTCTGTTTATAGGATCGATCAATTTTCATGTAAATTCCTACGTGTTTAACAAAGCTTAATCCTAGCGCATTTTTACGTGCTAGTTAGAGGCTGCAACGACTTAAAATCGGCATCGTCTTAAAATTATGTGCAGTACAAAACCGATGTCGAAACGTCAAAAGGTATATTTGACGCATTCTTAGAGGTGTCATAGTTCTGACACTTGAAACTAGTTCTGTATATGGATTGTTGGTTTCCTCTCATTATTTTTATGCCCAACACGTACCTATTTTTTGTGCTTTTTTGCATAGTTGGTTTGTTCCACATGTGAGTTGCTCTAGCATTGACAGGTGATTTACTCTTTGATGCTTTGAAGAACGGTAAATCAGACGACGGTTCGACTAAACGTTTAGTAGCTAGCACCTGAAAGTCGCTACCGTTACTTAAATTAGGTATTCTGCTCGAGATCGTCCCCAATACCGTTTGAGCTATATTCATATTTCTGCCAGCACCATTGGAATATTAATGTAACGACACTCCATTGACATCTGCAGCTTTGAACATTAGTAGCTTCTTTTACTGCATTGTTTTGGTTTTAGAGGGGATTCCGCGCGTCTACTATTTCGGGCCGTGTGCCAGATATAATGCATTGGTTATGGAACTTTTGGGTCCTTCGCTCGAGGACCTATTCGACGTGTGCGAACGGCGGTTCTCTCTCAAAACCGTTCTGCTTCTGGCCATCCAATTACTACATCGGATCGAGTATGTTCATACGAAACACCTCATATATCGGGACGTGAAGCCCGAAAATTTCCTTATTGGACGAACGTCAACGAAGAAACAAGATGTCATACACATCATTGACTTTGGACTGGCCAAGGAGTATATTGACCCTGAAACGAACAAGCATATACCATACAGAGAACATAAGAGCCTCACTGGAACCGCACGATATATGAGCATCAATACACATTTAGGTGCGTACAAACTGAAGACCTTCTAGTGGTAAGAATGTGTGTAAAAAATTATTTTTCCATTAAATTATTATTTCAAACATTAAGTTGAAAGTTCTTAAATAAACAGATAGATAAAAGTGCTCCGTGAAATCTTGCTTAAACCTCTTAGGCTGATTCTAATGTGGTTTAATTTTTAAGAACTAGTTTCTAAAAGATATGAGCATCTTTTAGTCGTGATAGGACAACGTAGGAAGCAATTTTTATCTGTGCTACAGGTAAAGAACAGAGCCGGCGCGACGACCTAGAGGCTTTAGGCCACATGTTCATGTACTTTTTGCGAGGCTCACTGCCCTGGCAAGGGTTAAAAGCTGACACGCTCAAGGAGCGCTACCAGAAGATTGGGGATACAAAACGAAGTACTCCTGTGGAAGTGCTCTGTGAAGGCTACCCGGCCGAAATGGCTACCTACCTAAGGTAAAATAGCCACTTAATGGAATATTGAAAATCGATGAAAGGTGTTTGTACTATTAACGAATGTTCAGGTAAATCGCCTGAGCTTACAAGTTTTCGGCAAAGCTTTAAATCTACCCTTATGGCTTAATTAGTTGTTCTGATATGAAAATTTTGAAAAAAAAAATGCCTGTAAATATGGTTTTAATGATCTTGCTTATCTTGCAAACAGTTCAACTGATACAATGTGTAAACGGTTTGGAACGATCCACTGTTTAGGACAGGAAAGCCTGTGGCACTATTTTTACTTCACAATCAGGGGTATACATCAATCGAACTCTCCAATATTCTTCAGGATGAAAATAAAGTTCCTGTCATTAATGCAAAAAATCAAACACAGTTTTGTCACTACACTGGTTAATAGATGCCAAGATGTGATCGCTGTTGGCGAGCTCGCGGCAATCCTTTAGAGGGTAATTAGCCATAATACCATTCGATGCGTCTATGTACGACCTGCAAAATTTAGGCCATATTTTGCCTTCCTAAAAACAACGTATAAGGTGTATATCCGAACGCGTTACACACACCGCTTCCATGGCAGACGTCGAACAATCAATAATGGTATCTTCTGTTCATTCATATTTTTCAGATATGTTCGTAGACTGGATTTCTTCGAAAATCCAGATTATGATTATATGAGAAAATTGTTTCGCGATTTGTTTGACCGGAAAGGTTTTGTTGATGATGGCCAGTTTGACTGGACGGGCAAGACGAGTATCGTAAGTAGAGCGTACTGCATAAGTCCATTGGTAAAAATAGAAATTTACTGAAATGAAAATGTGAGAAATTCATGGCAGATCTATGACAAATGCACAGACATCTCAAAAAATATGATTCTAATGATAGAAAAAAACAAGACAAGCCGTTTAAAGGAATTTAATACATTTGCCAATCTCCTTGGTTTCTTTACGATCTGTCCATTGTCTCGACGGCAAAATTTGATAGGTAAGCATGCCAAAAGTCGGCTAAAATGCGTCGTTTCAAAGATGGCAGATAAATTCAACTAAAATTGGGTAATTTTATCATCCTCAATAAAACTATTAAATTTTAATACATATTCTTCATATGAAAAGTCGATGTTCTTTATTTCAGCGAAAAAAAGGTAGACACAGGTCTCCTCGTTTTTATATGTTTTTGTCTATATGATTTTACATTATGCAGATACCCTGTCTAAAATTTTGAACTAGATTGTCAAGTTCCCATGCGACAAATTCGAATAAGTACTAAGATTACGGGAATGGCTGGCACACTTTCTAGGGCGGAAATACATCGACTACTTCTAAGCCTGCGTGGGGAGGAGGCGGTGATGCAGGAGGTCCCGGCCAAGGGGCACTTACAGCCGGGGTGCCTCTTAGAGGCCTGATCAGTGGGCTTGGAGACAAACAACAGCAAACAACTGCTTCAGTAGACCCCAGCAATCCACTAGCAGTGCAGCTGCATGGATCGGTACAGGTAAAATTCTAAGCACACACTTGCTGATATATTGTGAAGCTATAAAAAATCCGCGCTATAAAAAAAGCTATACACTTAATTGCATTTAGTACTTGAATAATATACTAAGTATACCACACCTTATGGCATAGTTGCTAAATATCATACGTGCAATATTTCGATACTAGATATTATTGAAAAGCCAAAAATAACTAGAATCTTACGTATGCGCTCTGTACGGCCTGGAAATTAAGAGAGAATATATATGGGCATATGACAGCTGTCTATAGGTATCGCCTCTTTTGGGTCCATTGTAGAATGATTCAGAGTGAATTACGTTCATCGATCCTCTTCTTGTATCATCACGAATCAAGAGCCTGCATATCATTTATACATTTCCTACGCGATATGTTGCAGGTGGTAAGCTCAACAGTCGGCGGAGAGGGTATCGCGGACGACCCGAACATGGGCCATTCCAACACCCCCATTGCTGTACCTGTTGAAGTGGAAATCATCTCCGAGACCAAGTGCGTGTGTAACATCTTTACGTACTACCATAAAGAAATATAGCTAAGAAGCAATAAAATGAAAACGTACTATTTCTCATCAATTTGAAGTTTCGAGCATCTAGCTAAACGATTTTTTACACTGTTTAGGTTGTTTGTTCTACTGATTGATTTCTAGTACTTTTAATAACCGATATCATCTTGTCTTTCGTTTTGCAGATGCTGTTGCTTTTCACGTAAGAAGAAAAAGATGAATCGGCCAAAGTGACCTGTTGGGGGTGGTCGGGACCCTCGGGTCGTTGGGGGTGCAGACAGCGGGGATCGATGTGAGGCGGAACCACTCGTCGTTATCGCCACAGGAGGTTCGCGCGATTCAGGAACGCAGCTTTCTTCGCCAACCCGCTATCCATCAGTTTCCGGGGCACACACAACAAACTGTACAGACTCTCGTCCAAACTACATGGCCTCTATAGAACCAGGACCGCGGGAAAAGCAACAACAGTTAGAACGACAACAGCAATTTAAAAAAAGCCTTCAACTGCAAAACTTAGATGACCAGAAAGTTCCCTCACTTGCAGTAAGCTCTCTACTTGATCAATCCTTACATGATGCCCAATAGTCAGATAACAGACAGGAGAAGATTAGATAAATAAATTAAAAAAAAAAACAAACAAATCGTGCTGGATGTACCATACAGCAACAGACACCTGCTTATCTACCTATCGACACCAGGTCACTCTGCGCGAAAAATACCTCCCCCCCTCCCCCAATGAGCCATTTTCTCGTAATATCTTCTATAAATTTCTACAAATAATCCTATTATAATCATATTGTTATTATAATTAAAAAATCAGTTGCTGAACCGTTTCTATTGCTGGTTTGTTTATCGCTCAGATAGATTTAGGACGTTGGCCGCTCAACGATAGTATCTGATCAACACCCAGCTATATTGACTATACTCATCACCGAAGATTGGGTTTCGGCGCCTGCCAACATTCAATTTCTTAAGGGACCACGCTGCCTCGCAACGGCGGACCTTCGCCACCCGGGGCGCAAAAACACATGGCATTACACAAATACGTGAGGGCACTTCAGGAGACGCCTCTTTCTTCTAAATTTCCTGGCGTTTAACTACGATTTATTATAACAGAGCGGGTGTAGGGTAGAGGATTCCTAACTTTTTGTTGTCGACTGATCGTCAACAAGATTAGCGAGGAATAGAACATAAAACGTTTTTAGCTTTACCACAGACCAAATGGCGGTAACTGAGCGACGCGTTGGTGTAATACAAGCGCTCGATCGACATACACCTATTAGAAGTACTAACATGGTGACGATTTCTAGATAGTGGTGATGATGCTGCCGATTTCAGAAATGAAGGTAATCTTTGTTGTAACCGTAATGTATATCGCGGGTCGCGCAAGAACCGACGATATAGCCATGTGATTACAAGAGAAGTTGTAGGGCGAGCAGTTGATGAACATGTCAGATATGATTGAAGTAGCTGAGAAGAATCATACACGATGTGTAACATGTTCGAATGGCAAGCTTATAGGGGTGGTCATCTGAGGATATTGCTTTTTTGGCCATCATTCTAGCGCTATTAGCGCTCCACATTGAGTGTGTGCGAGTGAGTAAGTAACTGTGTGCGAATGTATGGACAAGATCGAAAGAGACAGACGAGAATGATAGATTTTAGTAATGATGTGCAGTCGATAAAAGCGTAAGACCTCTAAGACAACCGTCAGAGAGAAATGATAATAAATCAAAGATGAAAAACGACACAGAGCAAGAGGGAGGAAGGGTGGGGTAAAATAGACAAACATTGAATGAAAAGTATTGTATTTTCGGTGAACCAGGCGCACTGTCATAGAAACACAAGGTTGAACCATACATAACAAAAGACAACAACAATGGGCTCAGAAAGATGATCAAGACCGACATTTGCTAGCATCTAGTATGATCGGGCAATTGACGGCCGGCCTTCACGCCACCCTAGAATCAGCAGTGAGCCCAATGTCAGCACGTGGTAATGAACAAAAATAGAAATTATTACAACATTAAACAAACACGATGATGCCATGAAGGTAAATAAGCAAGCAAACAGGCACACGAAAACACAAATAGGGCGCCACGTAGACATCAAAGGCTGAATCGAGTAGAACGCTATCCAGAGCGTTTTGTAACTGCAGAAGGAGAGTCGGAAAAAGGTCAGACTGTTCGTAGGACAAATCGTTAATAACCATTCATAAAGATCAGTAGTAGTAGGGATAGACAGAAAACGGGAACGCTCTACGTTCGACAAGAAGAAAAACAAATGACACTCGTTATTGTTACAAACGCCCATGAATGTCCATATGTTTTTGAGAGGATAAGGAATACCAGCAACAAAAAGTTAAGCGAGTGAAGGAAAAAGGCTGTGCCCGATCCCAGGGTGAAAAACTACCCCTAGTCCCGCGGGGGGCGCTACAGCAGACAAGGCAAAGAGCTACGTGGGCCGCAGTATATATATATATATATATATGTTTAATTGTTGCAGATTTCTCGTCTAGCCACGTGCTTGCCCGCCGACACCAACAGATAGATTCCAACGCTCTGATGGCTAGTTGGCCTTTGATACTTGCCGTTGGCTTCTACACTGCTGATACTGCACATTCTATTGATAGCAAGCATTGGGCGACCGGTAATTAAACAACAACAACAACAACAACAACAGCAGCAGCAGTACAATCCAAGAGCAAACTACCAACCAAGAATAAAATCAAGAGGAAAAATGGCGGGGGAGAAAAGGTAAGGGGGGAGGGGGGAGGGGGTAAGAAAGGACGACAAGCGCGCGAATCGCGGACGTCAGCCGACGTTCTCTCTTCCCGTTCTGTTGTATTGCCGCAGCATTTGCCCCAGCCGTAGTAATGGCAGCAGTGGCAGAAGTTATTGCAGCTTCTTTTATTTCTGTTTGTATTTCCGCTTTCTACTAGTCGTCTTGCTCGGTATAACTGGTGCGTTTTTTACCACATAGCTCTGTTTGCCTGTCAGTTGCTCGCGCCCCACTTGCAAGAAGTCAATGTATGTGTATGACCGATTATGAAGATAATTATGACGGTGACGATACCGTAATGACGATAATAAAAAGACGACCGCTAATGTTATTATGATGATGACAAGTCACTATGTTCTCGAATATATAAATAGAAATTCCCAAACACGTGGAGACTATTATGACAAGCCAAGATTATATATATATATATATATATATATATATATATATTAGTTAGAGAGAGAGGTAGAAAGGTAGATGAATTATTAAAAGATTGAGGCTTGTGGTCGCTTCAAGCGAAAATAGGGGAGATAAACTATGATATACTCCTCTTTCGATATAGTATAAAGGAGCGTTCCGTTAACAAGGCATCAATGAGAACAAGAGAGGCAAATAAATGAGTAGGATGTGCTGGTAATAGATGGGTGTTACTAAATGAAAACAAAATAGAGCAAAACACGGATACATTTATATTATATGTACTAATTATGTCAATTGATTCATGAGTTAATTATTGAAGATCATGTCTATGACAGAGACGAAGGTAATATTATTGCCAGTTGTACGATTTGTTCAAAAACGAAAGGGTGATGATAAATATATAGATAAAGAAATGCATAAACAAATATGTGTGTATTGAAATAACATGGCGTTAATGATAAAAATAATGATATAAATATTTCTGAGTGCACCAATGTAATGTAAACTGGAGGAAATTATGTAGTGGGATATATATTCGGTAATGAATAAGATCAGATTATGGTGGAATTTTAAAGGCCAAGTTGCTTCATCATTCTCATCAATCGCATGGGCAAGTGTCGCAAAAAGGGAGATTCTAGTTCAGTGATAAGTAGCCCCAGAGGCAGCCCCAAGGAAAATGGAGAATTGAGTTGGTCGCTAAGCGAACTGTGACGACGACAACAATGTGAAGGTCATAAAGTAATTAACGAGGTCTTCCTGGGGAGAAGGTGATTTATATTATGGGTGGGATAAAAATGAAGCACACCTGCCTCATAATGGAATTAACTCAAGAACATCACTTAGAGTTAAACCTGAAAGAATACTTACTTACAAAATTAAGATACTTCTACTTTACGATGGGCAGGTATTTGGTGAAAAGTATCAATCGATTCAAGTTGAATTTACCTCCAACCAATGACATAGAACCACGTTACCTTTCGTACACCACCATTCCTCCATGCGAGAAAGCTTCTAGATTGCTTAGGCCTGTAAATGCTTAGCAGACTTTTTGCAGTATGGAAATAAACGTCAGTTGATATGAAACAAAAACACGGCCGCCGATACATGAAATCTCGATAAAATACCATAAAAATTGAAGTTTTCGTCATTCGTCCGAAGTAAAGAAGGTAACAAATAGAACTTAATTAGCACGATTTATATAACTAGTGTGGGTCAAAGGGAAAAAAATAAATCTGATAGGGAAAGAGCTGGGTGTATCTAAAAAAGGGGATTTTTGCTCAGTTGATTGTTATTTATGTGCGTTGCATATGGCATTCGTTCGTCGATATGTTTCGTTTATCGTTAACTCCGTCGCAATATAATGTACTTGATTTACTAACATCAAGCCTATGAGCTCAAAGGCTCGGTGGGGCCGTACGCCCTTGCGGGGCCTGATAAACTGTTCACATGCTCACTCCAATAGGATCACTGACATCTATATATCAGAAAAGCGGCGAGAGCCCATCACTTATTGGCGTTATCCGCATTTCCGCTAATTTCTACTTAGTAAATCATTCCGGAAGTCAGGAGCATTTGTGATCCTGATTATTCTGCTTGCATATCTTTAAACATTCGTAAATATCCTACTATTTAAACATAACCTCGGACATAATCTAAAGTCATTTGCTTTGACCCAATATAGAGAACTGGCAAATGTAGCAAACACAAATGCTAAATATCCAGCGACATACTGCTCGATATCCCCTATACAGTCAAATTAAGTAGAAGTTACCTTCGTCCATTACGTCCGGAGGTTGCGGCCCCCCTCGATGAACGCATTCTTACACTTTGTCGAAAATGCGGCCAACTTCTTTTTTAAGGGAACGAAGTGGACATTCTAAAGCGTAAGCAAGCAGCTGAAGAGATCTGTTCATTATGACCCTGTGCGCTCAAACGTAGCAGGCACATAATCTCGTATCCTAAATCTACGAGGGCAGGCCCATTCCTTTGGACCTTGGTTTATAGCCCCAGAAAGTTCGCCGTTAGAAAGCACCTAATGACTCTGGATAGTTTTTGCTCTTCTAATGAAGTGTAATGAATCCCATTTCCGTTGAAACTACGGGGCACAACAATATCACAGTTGAAGCGTAGCATATCAATAACGTTACGCCTCAGACAGATATGCAGAAAAGAATGCAGGCTTCAGGAAGCTTTTAAGAGGAACTCATGTTTGGAGAGCAGTTGGAACGGAATGATTCCATCGATTGACAAAACTTTGAGAGCAGATGTCGGAAGCCGCGTGCGTCTCTGAGATATGAGCTAAAATGTTCAGTAAAAGCTAACCGTGGGATATTTAATGCGATGAGACAACACTAATTTTCGTGCGGCCGAACAGCAAAGTTGTAATATATATTACTACAATATAATAATATGTGAAACTTCCATGAGCGAAAGGAAACACGAACGTAACGTAGAATTGACGGCATCACCATTGCCCGTACCAGGAAAGGTGACGACCAATGATTAAGCTAACAACAATTATTGGTGACGACTAACTGATGCCCCCTGTCATCATAGAGTGACCTAGACCATGGTGACGTAACGGCTAGATTCGGTACAAAATAATTGCGCCGTTCGAACGGCAGACACCCCTCGAAAACGCCCAAAAACGTTAAAAGGCGGTTAATAGAATAGATTATAAAGAAAAAAATCGAGACATTTTAAGAAAGAAAAAGGGTTAGAGGTCCGAAAACGAAAATAAAGAACGTTATTTTTTTTATGATGCACTACGACCTCGAGAGCTATGATGAAGGCGTTGATGGTGGTGGCGGTGATTGTGATGATGGCAAAAGTGGGAAAATTCTATTACGATACCATGATGCTGACATGGGCAAATATAATGAAATCAATTATTATTTTATGGCAAAAATATTAATAATAATAATAGTATAGTTATGAACAATAATGATATTGCAGTAAACTAAAAATATGCGCGCAAAAAACAAGCCGATATTACATCAATATAAGAAGACTGGGTTTGTCTAGAAGTGCGAGATTGACAGGCCACAGAAATTGAAAATATTATGGCGTTTGAAAAGAACTGTGTGGGAAGCAAATGTGAGACACGTAAGGATCACGCAGAGATAAAAAAAAATGGAAAACCTATTATTACTGATCAGAAATAGAAGGGGGTGTAGAGACCGAGCGGAAACCTTCCGCGTAAAAATTCGAAATAGAGCGAGCGACTGAGCGAGAGAAACAGGACCGTGTGCATGTATTTAGGCTGTTTGAACAAGCAGTAGGTGTCATAAGGGAGGAAGTCGTAACTGGCCAAATAAGCTTATTGAGAATTGCTGGCCAGGTTTACAGAAATATGATACTATAGGACAAGGTAAGGTCAGTGATAAAAACGGATATAAAATAGAAAATGGTAAGTGCATCGAAAGTAGACGAAAAGTAATCGGGGTCGATGCGTTGTTTATTCGAACGCGATGAAGCCGCGAGATGGCGCCGTAGGAAACGTGAAGGAATGAAACCGCGAGACGGAAAATGACGAAATATTAATAAAAAGAGGAAGAAAATGGCGAGATGAGAAAAATACTAGAAAAAGAGGCAATGTACATAGTTTGTTGGCTTTCCTTTCCGATATTATTATTCTTACTGTAACTACATACATGTATTATTAATTATTATTAGTAAACAATCTCATGTAGTGTATTTGAAGGAACGCGTTTTCATTTCTTGTAAGTTTAAACATATGTATATATTTAGCGCCATGCTGATACAGAAGATGTGTGTATATACGCATAGCCGTGCATGTCGCACCTATTTAGCATTCATCACGGCTTGAAACTATCGTGATATCTAAAAATTAGGACGATAATATTTTTTTATAGGCCGAAATAATAACATATATTGCGACGTTTACATTTGCGTTTACTTTATGGCCAGCTCAAATTAATGAATTGATCCATATAAATAAATAGTATACATTTGATCAGGCTAGTTTACTGTCGAAACCTCCGTTCGCTTCCTATGGATCGTAGATTTAAATAACGGATGATCTCAAAGTAATAAGGAATTAATTGGTCAGGTGAATTACAATAGTTCGATAGCCATAAACATTTCGGCTTGTTTATCTCGAACATTCATAGTAAGTTCACAACAAACGAAGGAGAGCAGACGCTACACATAAAAAAAAAATAGCTGAAGTTCTGCATCAGATTGATTGTGAGGACGTCGGAAATAGTGTGCTTAATTTCGACTGAAATCAAAGGCGCGGGCACGCGTGAAATGTTTTTTGGCAGCTTTACTCATGTCACAAAAGTAGAGTTTAGAAAAAAAAAAACCCTTACATCTATTATACAGTATAGAATGGTCTTGTAGGGTCTTAATAAGTTTCAATTAGATTTTTTTTCATCTAAACACTAAACATCATTCAGTCGACCTATAGGACGACTTGGTAGAGTTCTCAAACACCTATTCCTCTAGTCGAGTCATATGCGTTAAGGTGGCGGGAATGGGCTACAGGACGTTATAAGGTGTCTAATAAAAGGTTGAGAAACTACGATATAGCTTACGATATATAAAAATAAATGTCATGTATCGTTCCTGAGGTCTAGGGGTGATTATATTCTAGAATGAGAGTTCTACAATTTTTGGCTGTGCCCATAATGCACCGGGGATAGCACTAAAAAACATAAAACATCCACTCCGTTGAATATAAATAGATTCAATCACTAAGAGATAGATAGATTTAAGCAGCAAATAAAGAAAAACGTGAAAAATCAAGGAAATAGACTTTATAATGCACACACACTGTAGGAAGGCGGCAAAATTAGCTTACTGCTCTGGAAAAAAACAGGCAGCTAGTGTACAGGTAAAAGGTGATCTCTGAGAATCAACTAGACAATTATTTATATAGAAAAAAAACAAGGTACGCAAATAGTAATTATTATAATCGAATGTGTCTATCACCCTTCATCACTCGTGTATCACTTTATCAATCGCGCATAAATAGATCTCTTGCAATATCTTGGCACGCCCTTTTGTAGTCATCTTTTTTGTTATTAGCGATGCTGTTCAATATGCCCTCTGCCTTCCATTTGAAACAACGACTTCAGTAATTCTTGGTGTTCTTCGAAGCCGAAAATAGTAGCTCTTACAACGTCTGCAGGTGTCACCTATGCAGGCTACATGCTTGTACTAAAATTAAAATAATGACGAAGTTCTTTGATGACTAAAACTGTTACATGACTGTAATGAAATCTACCTTAAGAGTAATGATACTAGTAAATGCAGGTACAAATATATTCTTTAATTTGACAAAGGTAGCAGACGGTGCTCTCTCTGCGCGAGCGTTACGCCCGCTTTTGTGTTTTCAAGATCAAATTTAGGTGCTTAACAGTTCGAAAAAACAGTGCATAGATTAACTTTTGACAAGTGAAGTTCATCTAGGTTAGCTGCGCCAATGAAGCGGTTGGTTGCTATTCGCATGAACGACATTTTGCCTATAAGTATCTATTAACAAACCTATTTGCAGCCCTCTTGCGTATTTAATTCACTCTTTGATAATTGTTAACTTTACTGTAAGGATTTACATTTCTAGAATGGCATCAACTGTCGTCGCAGGTTTCTACGTCTCAAGAATAAGCCTGTACACTTCTACATGAAGGCAGACATCTCTTCAAAGGACCCTTCCGCTAGCCACGTCCAGCGGCGTTAGATGTCGACCCAGCACACCCCGATTCAATCCAGACATCTATTAATTGTTTCTTAAGATAAGTTGCGTAACTAACTGTTTTGTTTACAGACTAATGTAATTCATTGGTTGTATATTCTTTACAAGTTGTGTATGGAATAACGGCAGATGGGTGTTATACCGAACTGACTGGGCCATTGCTCCACTTTATATTTACACTTTCAATTTGAAAACTGCCATGTAAATCAGTTGTACAGTGGTTTTACGAGCGCTAGCTGGGGGTAGCCACGCTGAATCGGCCACTTGACTGAAGTGTTCGCCGCTTGAACACTTTGCCTACTGTGGCCTGTCGGGTTTTAGGCACACATGTACCGAGTCTGGCCCTACATAGGTTAAGCTATCATTCTTCTTGAAACACTCAACAATAGCGTCCCTTTCTTTCTGGGATTTATGTTGGAACGTCGCAGAATTGTGGCTTGTACAGATTGGCTCCGTTGAATTCCTACTCGACCTCCACTTTAGCATATTAGTTCGACTACTTTGAACGACGCAGACCGCTCTTGATATCGGTTACTCTTATGTCAAAGCACAGCTATGAGGGAACCGACAGGGACCATATTGAATACATAGTGCGCTAACACAATATTACAATAGCATGTTGCTAAAAAGGCGGGGGTAAAACTCTTCGTGATCGTTGTCGTGAACAGTGTGCGCAATTTAGAGCTCACGGCGAGAAAAATAGCCAATGTAGACTTGACCGAGTCCGGCTAACATTATTGTTAACATTACACGCTTCACTGGGACCCAACTCGTATCGGTTTTCTATTAGAAGTTGCCACAAGCATGTACGCGTATATATCAACGACAAGGTGAAACGATACGAGACAAGCTCGGCCATTTGTGATCATCGTGAGGGGAATATATCACTCTGCACCCGCCAAAGCTGTACGTGACGAGTGAGCAAGCGTGCAACGAGATCGCACAACAGTAGTAATTAGTACGATATTATGTATTGAAAAAAGTATCGGGACCTTTCACGAGTCCGGTATTTTTAATTTGCGGAGAAAGTTTGTTCAAGCTTGACCTTCAATAGGTGCTCACCGCAATGCACGATGTGTCAAACTAAATTCGAAGTACCCATCGGCCTAGGCTTACGTACTTTCCAAGAAAATCAGCTTCTCGACGGTGTGTTGCTTGCGTGACAGACAGACAATACATGGTCGTCCATGGTCAGCCTATTTGTAAGCATTGCATTCCTTGCCCTAGACTACGGCTGTTTGCGAGAGAGGCGGCGAGTTAGATACAAACATAGGACAACGTAACGCATTGTCCAGGACTTGTGATCGTCCTAATTGACGATATATATATATACACGAGACTATCTAAAATCAGTAATTTCGATGATAAGCCGTCATCGACAAACCGCTTAAACAAATCTCATCGAGATTCGCATAGATCTCAACAACTAACGTCACTATCGATTAAACAATTTATAGTTATTATGAGACACGGTGAAAAGCGTCCTATTCATTTGAAATTTTCAGATACCATTTAAAGACTTATGCCATATTTTTTTCCATAACTTTTTTTCATATATAATGAAGATATGCAACGTATTGTATGAACATTGCTAAAAAAATATTAACACCTCAACTCGCTTAATAGACTTAAGGAACTAAGGAAATCGCGTCGATTTGAGGTTATTGTTGTCGCCGGGCTCCTAACATCACTTCAACCGATGATTTTACAGCTTGAACGTTCGTCGCACTTTTACATTTCGCGTGTGAAACATTTTCTTGCTAACTATTTTCTTGGAAAGATGCAACTTTCTTACTGTATAATGTACCGTCGTCATAAGCCACCCTAGCAGTATATGCACTCTATATATATATGGTAGTTTTTCCGTACATTTTCCACCAGTGAAATAATAGAAGTTAATTTTATAGACAAGATCTAATAAATCAACGTTCATATGATATACTAGATGGCCGCTTAGTTTTGAACTTTTTTTTTTAAAAATAAAGGAAACGTTTACTCTATAGAAAGCCAATATATCCTATTCACATTTTGTGGCGCCATGTGCTTTTAATAGGCCCCGCTTCCACAAAACCTGCTCGCCGTTACGCACTATTCGCTCTATGCGAAGAAAATGTTACTGGCCTAGAATCCGCAGGTTTGAAGGTCTACTTTTAACGGAAAATCACAAAGCTACCTAATAGGTCTCCCGATTCTGCAACAATTTCAACCTGAATTCACACCAAAAAATATTTTGACTACGGGTCCTCCTTGATCCTCTGATCCTCTTTATTTCGGCCTTTCATTTTTTGTAACTGTTGATATAAGGCTATGTGCATTTAGGCTTCAATGATTTCTTGGACCTCTGCAGTTTCATTAATTTCGTTTCATTGCTTTGAAAAAATTATCTCATAGCCCTCCGGCCTACTTCCTGCGAATACGAGATATAAAGTTCGCTACCGGCACAGATACGATTCTTCTCAAACTTCGTTATGTTTTTGCAAATGCCTACTAAAGGTAGGCTTTTTTTCAGATTATCTGCGCGTTTTCCAGCTTTCTAAACGAAAATTCGTCATAGACATTTTGCTAACCAGTTGCTGCAGGACACCCTGATGCGTTGATACGGGTAGTTAGAAAAAAAAAAGCAAGACGTACATAGTTTCTCTTCGGCCAGCTTCCTCAGAGAATGTCCTTTTGCGGTGATGGGCTGAACGCGTCTACACACTTTGCAGAGCATGGTTGGTCCAAAAATATATTGAATACTTTTATATTATATAGCCACGTGCGTGGGAGTAGAAGTTTTGAAGATGATATATCTTATCAACTGATGTAAATATTTACTTCCCAGTTATTTTAAATAAACAGTGTATTTGTAGAACCGTATTCTCGGTACTGTTTTTCTTGCATGAGGCGCGTCTTAACCTACCTGGTTTTCAGGAAAACTCTAAAAAAAAATATTCTCAGTAGTAATAGTGTCGTTGGGTCTTCTCTCAGTCTAGTCAAAGCC